ATATAAGTCTAACTGCTATTGCTATTGCTATTGCTATTGATTGCTATCTATCTATCTATCTATCTATCTATCTATCTATCTATCTATCTATATCTATCTATCTATCTATCTATCTATCTATCGGATTGTTGGGGGCAATATGCCGACTCTGTAAACCGCTTAGAGAGGGCTGAAAGCCCTAGGAAGCGGTATATAAGTCTAACTGCTATTGCTATTGCTATCTCTTGCCCTTCCTCGTCCCCGAGAAGATCGCAGCCTGTTCCAAACACTCGTCTGGTGGGCAACTCTTGCGTTTACCTTGAGGGTCACCCCTGGGCTGGCACCCAGCCACCGTTAAGGTTTTCTCCTTCCCAAATAACGGAAGGCCTTCCCCCACCACACACACACACACTTTCTAATTTTTCACGTCTTCCTGAAGACCATCAGCACGAAAGGAGGGGATGGTGGAATTGGCCCACTCGGCTATGCTTTTAATTAACTCAGCCTCTGGGCCCTCCTGGAGCATTAGTTACTCTGCAAATGCCAAATCCCCTCCAAGGAGGAGGAGGAGGAGGTTGTTGCAAGGACTCCGGAGTGTCCCCGGATCTCTCCGGCAATTTCAGCGCTTTGGATGGAGGAGAAGGGAGGGCAGCCTTCCCCGGGTGCAGCCTGTCAGGCCTGGAAGCCATCGTTTGCCTCGGGCCTTCCGGCCTGCCCCATCTCCTGCGGTGGGAAAATGGGAAGGGGGATTATATGGAGATGGGGAGATATAGAGTCTAAATCACATTCCTTTCTCCGCAGAGTCAAGGACATCTTGCCCTGCGCCTCGAGGGGCGTGACTGGGAGGCATCTCCAGTTGGGAGGGTGCGTTGATTGGGCCATGGGACGGACATGTGGGTGCTGGACAGGGGCTTGGACTTTCTTTTCGGTGGGGAAAACCCGGAAGCTTTCAGATTTGGGTTTTCCCAGATGTACCAATATGACATCTGAGACAAAATGGAACTTTGAGGAACCTCAAAGTCTTCTTTCGCTTTGGGGAGGGGGCTGCTTGGAACAACGACAAAGGCAGCCTGTAAGGCCTGCAGCCCTCTTTTCTTCTGGGCTTTTGGCCTGCCACACTTTCTATTATTCTGCTATGCCTGTTCTATGGTGGGAAAATACGGAGTTATTTATGTATGTAGCCATAACAACATTCTTTCTAGAAAGCCAAGGTCAGCCTTTATCCTTTGCACCTCTGCACCTGACCGGAACTGGATGGGAGGAAGCTGCCAGCGTGGCAGAGGGAGATTGGACCATGGGATGGGCTTGTGGGGGGTGGGGCAAGATCTTGAACTGTCAACTGGGTGGGGAAAACCGGGAAGCTTTCAGATTCGGGTTTTCCCAGATGTGCCAACGTGGCTCTCTTCACCAATTGGAACTCTGAGGAATGTTTTTCCCCGGACTCTGATTTACTTTTGGATGCTATTTGGAACCCTGACATCCCTTTCATGCCATTCTGGCAATTCATTCACTGAAGAACAAGAAGCAACAGATGGGAACCTATGGAGGAGAGAAGCAACCTAGAATGAAAGAGAAATTTCCTGACAGTGAGGACAATTAACCAGTGGAACAGAAGTTTATAGTTTTTTTTTTATAGTTTTATTAGAATTTGTAGGCCGCCCTTTTCCCTGAGGGGACTCAGGGCGGCTCACATAAA